TAAAAGCTGAACATTAAGTTTCTCTCTTGTACTGCTTACAAACAGACACAATTTTTAAAAAGAGAATTGAAGGAAGTGGTTTTGCTTCCAATGAAGTAGAGATGAGCATCCCTTCTCTTGTCACTAAAAGCAATTTGAGAGATTTCCACAGAGGAGGTACCACACCCTGGATGGGAGAGAGAGTGTGGCGTAGCTGAGGGTGAGTGAAGACTGCTGATAAAGATGTTTGCCCATCAAATTCAGAGATAGACCAAAGGGAAGCAAGAGTTTTATTGTTTAATAAATAAATTTTAATCCCTTGGGAAATATTCCTGTTTGACATCAAAGGTGCATTTCATGCAGATGTTCAAATAAAGCTTATCTATATAAATATGTTTCCTGTTGTCAGTGTCATTGATTGAAAGATTATAGTCTTGGCCAGGGAGATAGCTCAGAATAAGTGCTTGTCTGGCAAGCGCGGGGTCCTGAGTTCAATCCCTGGTACTGCAAAGAAAAACACAAAGATTATAATTTTTTTGGTGTTTTTTCCTTTTTGCAATAGTGGGGATTGAACTTGGAACCTTGTGCATGCCAGGCAGGTGCTTATGCCACTGAGCTATATCCCTGGCCCCAAGATTATAGTCTTGTTCTACTTTTTTTTCTTCTCACTTTTTTGGTTATGCATATTAATGGATTTCATTTTGTCAGGTTCATACATGCACATAATATACTTTGATCACTTTCATCCTCCTCCCCCCAGTTTTCCTTTTGGGGGGGTGTCAGTAAGCATAATATATTTTGTTCATGGCTATGCCCCTTTTGCCCATCCTTAAATTCTCATCCCCTCCCTTATACTTTTCCTCTTATCTAATAATAGACTAGGTTTTACTTTCTGAGTTTGGTAATTTTAGGCAACAATATTTTTACAACACAAAGTCTTATATATTTGTTAGTAAATTAAGGAAGTTATTCTGTTCACAACTACCTTTTTTCATGATTAACATACATGGATTTTATATTTCAATTTTTTTTTTTTTTTTTTAAGACAGTCTTGCTATGTAGTTCCGGGTGGTCCTAAACTCACTATGTACCCAAGGCTGGCCTTGAATTCAGCAATCCTCTGGCTCACTCTGAAGTGCTGGGATTAGAGGTGTGTCCCATCACGCCCTACCTATCTTCTGCTTTCTTGTCACTTTTTTTTTTTTTTTTTAGATTCCACATACTAGGGAAGATCTGCACTATCTGTCTGAGTTTGGCATATTTCACTGAGCATGCTGATATTTGGATCCATCTATTTTCTTGCAAATGACAGGATTTCATTCTTCGTTATGGCTGAGTAATACTCCATTGTGTATTACTAAGGGTCCCTTCATCTTTTGGTAAGCACCTAGACTAGTTCCGTATTTTGGCCATTATGAATTGTGCCACAGTAAATTCAGGTGTTCATGTACTGACATAGTATACTTACTGACTTTGATTTCCTCAGGTTTATACCAACGAGTGGCATAGCTGGGTCAAATGATAGCTCCTTGGAGTCTTTTGAGGACCTTCTATCCTGATAACCAGAGTGGCTGTGCTAATTTACATTCCCAGTAGCTGTGGAGAAGGGTTCCTTTTTTCCTGCAGCCTCACCAGCATTTATTGTTTTCTGTATGTACTCTTGATGATAGCTAATTCTGACTGGGGTGAGACTGAATCTCAGAGTAGTTTTGATTTGCATGTAGCTAATAACTCCAGATGTTGAACATTTTTTTCATATACTTATCAGCCATTTGTACTTCTTTTTTGAGACAGGATCTTGCTTGGATCAGGCTTGCCTTGAACTCCCTATGTAGCTCAGGCTGGCCTCAAACTCAAACAGTAATCCTGCCTCAGCCTCCTGAGTGCTGTGATTACAGGTGTGCACTATCAAACCCTGCCTGTACTTTTGAGAAGTGTCTATTCTGATTATTTGCATATCACTTGGGCTACTTGGCTATTTCGTGTTAAGTTTTTTGAGGGTTTTTTGTTGGTTGGTTTTAGTGGTACTTGGAATTGAACTCAAGGCTATCATAGGTACATCCCCAGCCCTTTGTATTTTTTATTTTGAGACAGAGTCTTACTAAGTCACTAAGTTGCCAAGGCTGAACTTGAACTTGTGATCCTCCTGCCTCAGTCTCCCAGAGGGATTAAAAGTGTGCACCACTATGGCTGTCTTTGAGTTCCATTTATGCAGTAGATGATGAAGTGATAGTGTGTTGAATCTGTAGATCACTTTTTTTTTTTAATTTTTTTAATTTTTATT